AATGAAAGTTTGAAATTATATATAATCAATTAAAAAGTCTTTGAACAAATTCACACTCTGTTTTCTAATTGATTCTTGCAGTTTCTTGATGAATCTGATGTAGTTCCTCGAAAACTACGGTCAGGTACATATTAATTTATTACTATGTATTACTATTGTAAAATTATATATTTTAGATGCTTTTTTATTTTTTTTATCAAGTGGAGATGTATTTTTGTGTTAAATGGAAAAGATTGAACAGATCCTGCTGGTTGGATTGGGTTACGCGCAGTGAGTCTTCCCTGAAGTTCTCACCCCATTATTATGTACTATACTTTGGTGTTGAGATTATGAGTTTCCATTCCTTACTTTTGTGGCAATGGAAGATTCTTTATGTTGCTTTTTCCTTTTCCCGAGGTATTAAACTATGTACTCTGCACCTGCCTAAAAACCTAATAATTATATGAATTTGATTTGTTACTTTTGAGGAGCGTTATTTTCTTTAGATGAACCTTGAGCTTTGAACTTCAGAAGAAAAGTGTTTATATCACTATGATCAAGTGAGGGATATTTGTTTCAGATTATATACTTTCTTAGCAGTCGGAGTTGATTCCAGAGTTCGGTTTTGCTACCTTGGTCGAACATTTGGAATTGGATAACCTATTTTGATGGTTCAGTTATACAAGGTTAACTAATTGAACCGCCCAATTCGGTTATTTACTTTGCCCTGTTAGGTTATTTTCAGTTTTGTTTTCGGAAACTTTTTTTTTCTTTTATTATTATTATTTTTTTTCCTGCATGCCTCTCAATGTAATCTCCTTGGCTGCTATCATATTTTATGTGCTTAGAAAATTGTTTACTTTTTCTTTGAATATTGATTTATCAATTTTGACATTGGTGTATAAGCTTGAGAAAACTGTGTATGACTTCTAACCAAACATTAAAGGTCCGTTTGATTGCGAAGATGGAATTTGGGTGGAAAGAAAATGAATTACAGGAAATTGAATTACCTAGAAATTGTTTTCCTGAGAATTGTAAATTATTGTGTTTGATTTGTACAATTTTTCACTTGCAAAATGTTGAAATAAAAGTGTTTTTTGGTGTTCGTTTGGCTATGTTTTATATGAAAATTGTCAATTAAAGGGATAAAATTTACTAGTATTGGGAATAAAACTTGTTTTCATTGTTAAAAAAAAAGGCTAAGAAAATCATCTACCTTTCGGTTTTCGTTTGAATTTGTTTTATATGAAAATTGCCAATTAAAAGGAAATATTTTTTTACAATAATTCCTAAAATTTGTTTCCATTGTCCAAAAAAAAAAAAAAAAAATGGTACAGTGACCAGAATTGGAATTCTCAACATATTGGAGAGAATTCCAATTCAAGGAATATGTGGAATTTAGCTTAGGTGGCAAAAAATGTGGAAAATGAATTCTATATAAAAAAAAAAATGCCATCAAACACTGCAAAAGTGGAAGTTGGAAATGGTTTTCCATTTTCCATGGAAAATTTGGGTGTATCAAACACACACTAATTGTCTAACATTATTATTTTTTATTTTGGCAGTAGATGTATTTTAGGAGATAGATATATTCATTGCTCAAGAGTTCATAAGATGGTTTCAGATCATTATATTTTTAAATGTTGCAGCCATAAAGAAGCGAGGCCATGAATCCATCTCTCCACCTTTGCCAAGTTCTAGGAAGCTGAATCACATGTCTAGCGTAGTTGATTTGCGTAGAAAAGATGGTTCAAAGAAATCCAAACTGAAGATGGTAAGACAGGATGATATTGGAAACTTCAAATAATACCAAGTCTTTTTCACCCAAAATGAATAAAGAAATTTTAACGGTTAACTGTTGATATGATTGATGGAATTGCTTATTCAGAAACAGGAACATGTCACCAAGGATGAGGAAGAAGTGGCGGAGACCCTGTATGCTTTGGCCAGTATGGTCCCGGACACTACAAAGACTAAGAAGCTGGGATTAGATGGTGAAACTTCAGAAGCAAAGTCTTCGTCTTTGCTGCAAGCAAAGAGTTCAGAACCTGCACCCAAAGGTTTCTTTTAGTATTACTTTGTTGCTACATTGTTCTGTTTTAATACTTCATTTGCCTTTTTACCATACAAATTACCACTGTGAACAGATGTTGCAATTTCAACACCTCAAGGTGCTTCTAAGAAAATTAGCACAAGAGTCAGTGTGAAGGCTGCTTATTGCCCATCAAATTTGACAGAGTCAACGGTACAAGTTGTCAAAATCCACTCTTCAGGTGATGCTACACAACCCAACTTGCCATTCAACAAGGAGTCATCCACCACCGGTGCTTCTGGTGTTCAACTGGAGCCAAGTCTGGTTCCCATGTGTGTAGCCAATCCTTTTCTCCCATCATCCCTAATTTCTTTACCATCTCTTATTTTGTGATTTGGACTTGCGTTGACATATGGCAGGCTAAAGATGCCAACTCTTGATGCGACTCCAAGTGGTGAATTGCCAATTACGCTAGAACAGGTATGATCTAAAAAATCAGGGTCGACCTGTGTCTCGTTAGTAAATAATGTATGATTAAGATGGTGGCTTGATTTTGTTTTTCAGGTTGGAATCCAAAATGCAATGCCCCATGCTTTCACAGTAAACAAAAGTAATGGTAAATTCTCAATTCAATGATTGTTTTTACGTATGAAGGCGAGTAGTTCTTGGAACTGGATTTTGTTTATATTGTTTGTGTGGGCATCCATTATTATGTATTCACATAAGCTTTGGTTTTCCAACCTAGATTTATCTTTATGGACTGGCTCGTCTCCAACAGGAGCTCTGAGCTCCCTGACACAAGGATCCTGCCTACAGTAAGCTTTTTTTCCTGAAATTAATCCTAGCTCTAACTTATCAGAAACAATTCACGTTCCCATGCCAATTAATTTCAGATCATCAAGTACCAAACTTCCTGCTTGGTTTGACCAGACAAATTTTGCCACTCCTCGTTCCTGTGAAAAAAGTGTTACTGATGAAAAGGTATTTGAGTGCTGTTTTAGGATACGATAGGACGATTTTTTAAGATTATAGTCAATTCATACTTCGAAATGGAATATTTAACTGCACCTCACGTTAATAGTTGATGAGCCAGGATTCTCAAGTTCCGATCGAGTTGAAGAAGTCATGGAAGAAATGCTGTGCCCATGTTTACATAACTCGTCTCATTAAGGTCTTGCAACTATCAGAGAGAAAAGACGGGTTACAGGAGAAGCCCGCTCACTCATCACAGAATGAACGTTTGAATTTACAGCCTCGTGCGAGTGTCGACAGCCAAACGAATGCAATAAATGGTTCAAACTGTGTTGCCTCTTTTAACTATATGGCACATTCTACTTCTGAGAAGAATTCAGCAGATATACAAAATGCTATTCTTTTGTATAAGAGGCTCCTTCAAGATCAGCAACGTGGTTATACAACGCCTGGGTTATGCACTTCACTGAAACAAGTAGGTTTTTTTTCAACAATATCGGGGTTGATATTTTCTCTTATTTTCTGAAAGTTCACTGGTTTTGCAGGATTCTGATTTCTTGTCATTGGCTGCTGGAGGTTGTGGTGTGGATTCCAGTGATAGAATCAACAGAACAGGTCGCAGTCATGAAGGTTCAAAACATTTTCATGTTCCATTCATACAGCCGCAGAATCAATCAGCCATGCTTTTATCACTGCATCATAATGGTTATTCCTCTACTTTTCCTGGTCATGCTTCAACTGCGGCAGCACAGCAGGTGACTTGCTTTGTAGACTGCAACACGTTTGCATTTATTTTGCTTCACTTGCTTTTGGATGCTGATTGATTGTTGAATCTTTGCTGTAAGTGTATTTTTTTATTTTTTTTTTAAATCTAAAATGGTCCACGGTGGAGAGAGAATACCTTAGTATTTTGTTATTAATAACCTTCTAATTGATGACCATCTAATGACAATGCATTATCTGTTTGATTTATACATGCAGATACAGCTACCTCCATACCTTAGCAGCACGCTTGGTGGCCCTCCACATGTAGATGCTACAGTTCCTGAAAGACAACAGTCGGAGTCAGATGAGCAGCAGAAATGGATGGCTCAGATTCCAGATCAATACCATCCTGGTCTAATCACTCCTCATTTGCCCGACTGGCAAAACGGAGGAAGAGACTCAAGTTCCTTGCTTAACTACGCTCAGGCACACTTTCCACATTTCCATTCTTCACTCAACCCGAAGTATAAGGGAATTTTGCAACCACAGCAGCAGCAGATTATAAACAGTAATTCATCTGTGCCTCATTCAAATCTGAGAAGACATTATAATCGCCTACCTTCTGGCTTCGAAAGAAATGGAGCTTCATTTCACCCTGAAAGCTTACAACAACTGCAATTACTTTGCAATCAGCACCTTTGAAATGGATCAAGTCTATATTACTGATCACTGAAGATCCTAAGAATCGGGCTGGTGGAGCGTGTCTAGAAGACTAGAATTATACTGTGGTTATTCTGGTTTTCGCGCCTATTCTGTATCTTTTTCTTAGATACGTGGAAGAATAACATGATGCTGCTGGCTGATCAACATTAACTGGAGACGATCCTTATGAATCTAGGGAACTTTTTTTGCTTTTCTATGTGCTTGTTCAAATTTCATTCTTCTGATTCTTAAAATCAAGGAATGAAAGCATAATTTACTTTTTCTATCAAAGCTGTTCAGTGGAACTTTTGGATTGATAGGACATCTATTGTAACGAAGAACAAAAGTTAAAATTGTCTATCGTGTTGTTTAGTGCGTGCAAAACCCAATATTTTCAGAATGCCTTGTACCTATTTCAGTCTATATATCAATCGAAATTTGAATTGCTATTTTTGAATGACTAGGGATCATAACTGGACAGAGTCAAACTTCCATATCTTCTCTAGTTATTTTGTTTCTCCATTTATAGTGGAATGCATGACAAATCTTGCACTCACAAACTTGTGACTAGATTGTCCAGAAGACGGATGCTTGAAGAAGTGGCATTTGGAAGTCCACTTGAGTGGGTACAGGGATAGAGACCGGCTCTTCATTACTCCGCCTCCAATTTATTTATGCACATTTTGCATGCAATATTAGATCGAACTAGTATAAAATATGTAATATCTTAGTGTTTTTTTTTTTTTTTTTTTTTTTTTTAATAATGCCTACCAAACATGATATACGGAGTTATCATATAAATTTGTCAAAAGGGATGTACAAATTTCGGTCCAAATATCTAGTGAAAGTTCCCAAGCATTCAATCAATACACTCATTCTGGACATAAGAATACAAAACATCCTTGCACAAACAAAATTATTGCAAATGTCATCGACAAAGATCCTATAGCATCAGAACAAACATTACATGAGCGAAAATAGAAGGCAAGAAGAATTCTCAATTCGTAATAGTCTGTGACACAAATTTTACTCCTGCTTTTCCAATTCTCCCATTCTCTCTATGATTGCCTGTAAACATGATGTGATGATTTGTCATGGCAAAACACTTTCAACAATTTGCAAAAAATAACAGAATTAAAGAACGTAAGTGCATTCCGTTTCAAATTGATCAACCTAAAATAAACCAGTGCAACATTATAAATAGATCACAAATTTTTACCTTCTTGCTAGTTTCTTGGAGTTCTCCGGCAAGTATGAACTCATCTAGTATGAGGTATACCTTTAAAACAATAGAAAATAAATTAGGACTATAGTAGTATGCTGAAACATGGAAAAGCACATGATATGATATTAACAATAAACAGGTTAAAATCTACTAATTGGCATAATGAGAATCTGGTTTATACAGCAGCATCATAAGAAGAATAACAGGAATCAGACAGACAATTAAAAATTAAAAATGAAAAATGAAATAAAAAAACAAAGAGGGAGTTGTTTAATGAACTGCATCAATGACTTCCAATTAAATATATGAACACACAAAATGAGAAAACTTAAAAAAGAAAGTGATTTTCGTGTTTGAGAAAATTTTCCCTCAAAATTTACAAATAATTGGGTGGCACTCAATATTAGCACAATTGGTTTAAATTAGGCCACAATCACTCGAGGTCCCACCTAACTCAGTCCTACAATTTCGTCCATAGTAGCAATCCCATTTGTCCTCCCCTAGTCAAGCCCTCTAGCTCAACCCCTATAAGTATAGGGTTAAACCTTTGTTTTAGAAACACTTTAATTATTGAATACCAAATACTTTCATCTCTAATTTCTCGTCTCTCTTTCATATTCTTCTCAATTTTCATGAAGTGCTTTTTGTGAATTTCGTTTACGAGCTTTCTACGTCAAGTTCCTCGACTTCCACTACATAAAGTTTCCGGCTTGAACATTCAGTTCCTCGACTTCCACTACATAAAGTTTCCGGCTTGAACATTCAGTTCCTTGACTTCCACACACTGTCATAGTTAGAATAATTTCGAAGTCTCATTAATTTTTAGATGTCACGTGCTTATCATGTGACTTAACAAAATTAGTCTAACTTCAAAAACTTTGCATAAAGATTTTTGGGAGAAAACACAATTGTTGAATATTTTTTTCTTTCAATTTAAAAAACTCCAAAGATATTTCTCCTAACTTGTAAAATGTATTATGAAGGCGGTACAGATAATTAATTAACATCAATGCTATCCATGACAGTCATCAGTGAACTCCAACCGTACAAGATTTTTTCATATACTTTTAAAGAGTAAAAGGAGCTTTTCCATGGTAGATCTAAGATGAGCGATCACCACTCTAGCTAACCTCTAAACAGTGCGTAAATAAATAAAATTTAAATTCAGAAAAGATATGTACTATGATCATATGATGGACACAAGTGTATACGAAATTATCACATGATGAGTAATGGAAAAAACGATTCCAATGTTATGATGTACAGAACTTAAGACTCAAAATGAGCAATTTGAGTTGGTACATTTGTGATGTAGTAACATCTGAAAATCAAAAAAACGTGCAAACCTTGTGAAAATTGAACACTAGATCCAGCTCGCACACATTGCTGAAAAAATGGTCCAGAATCTCCACAAATAAGTGAATGCTCTCCAAATAAGCTAACTCGTTATCGGTAATATCTACACACAGTGAGAAAAATAATCCAGCATATCGCCTGTAGATAACCTTGTGGGTTCGGAACTGCAAATAATAAATAAATAAATGAAATATGAGTAGCAACTTATGACAAATAGTATAAATAGCTGCAATATGTGATAAAAGGATACCAACAATGAGTCAAGAAACCTGATCGTACAATCTGAATCTAAATACAAGCAGAAAACATGACTCTGTGCAATTCAATCCCTCATTCAAATCTAACAAATGTGTTAGGAAAGAGTAGGAAACCTCTCATAACACAAATCACCACAGAAACTCCCACAGTCAATAAAATGAAAACTTACCATGATATCCCCTACGCAAATTACCATTTGCTTTGCTATTATCCTAGCTATTTTATCCAAGTTACTGCCTTTTCCCTTACTGAATTACGATCCTATTCAATCATGTTGCTTGATTCTGAAGAACTATCACGTTTCTCTCTTCCTAACGTAATACAAAGTAGCAGTCTAGCACACAGGTCAAGTTTCAGGTGCTGTGTCCAGAAACAATTGCCTACATGACATAGAAAATAGACATAACTCCAGAGTAGACATCCTTTCCCTTTTGTTCATAAATTCCGGCCTACAAACTACAAGCAATCGATGAGACTGCTATAACCACAACGAATGCAAGTTCCCCGTGTTCATCACAATAACATACAATGCAGCACAGTATCATGATCTCGATGGATACTAATGACCTTGAATGTTGTGAGTTATACAGAATTATGAGCAGGAAATCACTACAACCGATTTATCTTAATATTTAATTAAACCTGGAAAAATAGTACCGCAGAAATTGATAAAAGAAACGACTAACCGCTCAAAAGTAAAACTTTAATCCAATAATCTGCATGTACAGATTTTTTTTAACAGAAGATTTGCTGTGGCCAATAACTGTTTTTGGCAATAGCCAATAGTAAGACAAATTCTGTAGAAAAAATCTATAATTATAGCATTGTTCAACTTTAATAAATAAAACCAAATAGTTTAGAAATGTAAACCTCCACAAAGTTGGTGAACTTGGGATCCCGATTAACAACCAATCGATGAACCTACATTACAAAATGGAAAAAAAATCAAAATCCAAGAAAGAATTAAAATACCCCAAAACTAAAAAACTAAACAATACCTCGTATTCGACTTTGTGTTTCTCAGATTCCTCCAGGGGAATGTAATATTTTGCTAGTCGAGTTTTTCCTTGCCTGTTCTGCAACAGTATGAACCGGATCTACAGTTTTCAAAACAAGGGGAAAAAAACAAAATTGTTAAATGAAAATTTCAAGCAGCAAACCCGAAAGAACAGAAGAAGTAAAGGTTTACCATCTTGGCGAGATCGATTGAGCAAAAAATTTCGCAAAATGGAAACCGCAGAAAAATTTTAGAAATCTGAAATTTACAGTTGAGAAGTCAAAGATGAAAGGTCAAAGTTAAATGCAAATTGGACTTGTCAGATTTAAATAGAAATAGAAATAAGGACTAAGCACTTTTTAGGTTAAATTACGGATAACATCCTTAACTTTTCACATTGTCGGATTATGGGACCTCAATCTGTAAGAATGAGATTTTGAATCATCAACCTATTTTGTCTATGAATTTAGGTCCTTAAGTAACAAAATCACCAATTTAAACGTTAAAATCTCAAGTGAATGTCAATTGAATTATAGTTAAATGTTAAGTGTCGGTTCGATTGGTGTTTCGTTTACAGTTTTGAATTCATTTTATATTATCAATTTTCAGGATCTACTTTAAAATTTCTAAAAACATGTTTAGTTTATCATTTTGAAAAATAATTTTTCAAAATAGAAAATTAGAAAAACACGTTCGATTTAAAATTTTAAAAATTATTTTATGACATATCATTTCATTAAATTTGTAAATAGTTATAAAGAGTTAGAACTATTTTTATTTTACATATTTTTACTTTTCTAGAAATTTTTATAATTTCAATTTTTTCTTTTCTAGAATTTTATTTTTTAGAATTTTTCAATTTTATTTTTGAATTTTTTTGGTGTGACCCGAAATCTTTATTATTGAAGAGAATTGAAAATTCTAATTAAAGTGTACACTAAGAGGAATCTATTTGGAATGCTTTTGGAATCTTATTCAAAGTATATTTGAAAAATTCTAGTTGAAATTCCATTTGTAAACCCTATTGTGAGTTGGAATTTATGTTTTATTGAAGACGTCAAGATAAGGAAACTTCTGGGCACTGTATTTTATCTACAATTCTATTTATATAACTTGAATTATTCCCTATATATATTTGACTATTTTCTACAATTTAATTGGATTGTTTAACCTTATTATAAGTTAGAAACATTGTAAACGCATCATCTTTGTTCTCTTTCTCCATATTATAATAAAATTTCAATCTTCTACAAATTATTTTCTTCGTGTTCTTATGATCTTTACCTCGTATAATTGTCTTAATCTCTTATCTTTTCATTATAAAGTGGTATCAGAACTATCCCACTTTCAATAAAGTGGTATCAAATTTGGTTCGATTCATAATAATAACATAACCATAAAGATCTAAAACATAATCGAGTTGTGATTTGCTATCTATTTTTGCCGTCAACCAAATTGTAAATTAACATATCATGGAAAATTAAACCAACCTTAACATCAATTTTGATTTTTCATAACATGTCAATTTGTAATTGGATAGACAACATGAATGGATAATAGATCTCAACTCCCCAAATGCATCCACACACGGACTCAATTGGGTACGATAAACACAAGGACAATCTGCATTCAGCTTCAGAGAAACTCCCATGCCTATTCTAGCACGCGTCCCAGCACTTGGGATTGACCATGCTGCCAATCATACATCGATCGGTCGCCTATGGAATTCCTTCGTAATAATCTACATTAATTTTCGGGATTGAAAAAACAATGTTGAGAAGAAAAATGAAATAAACAAGTTGTACTTAGAGAATTTTGGATTTGCAATTTCTTCAAAATTTTTAGTTTACTGAAGAAATTTCTTGGATTGTGTAGTTCGAGTTAATTGTTCTAATGGTCACTGAACTTCGGTTCATATTTTTATTGATCACTGAAACTTAAAGTGTCGAGTTTTGGTTACTGAACTTAGGTCAATGTCCTCGATTGCTCACTAAATTTAGGTTCATATCTTTAGTTGTTCACTGAAATTTAAAATGTCGAGTTTTGACCATTGAACTTTGAAATATGTCGCACGTTACTCACTAGCATAACTATTGAACTTTGAAAAATATCGAATTTACAGTGAGTAATGTACAATATTTTTTAAAGTTCAGTGAGTAATGTACAATATTTTTTCAAAGTTTAGTGGCCAAAACTCGAAATTTTAAACTCCAGTGAGTAATCGAAGACATAGACTTAAGTACAATAATCAAAACTCGACATTTTAAATTTCAGTGACTAATCAAAGACATGAACCTAAGTTTAGCGACCATTGGAACAATTAACTCGTGTAGTTCTATATACACAATTTTTCCTGAAATATTAATTTTTGTTGTTTGGAAATTACCAAGTTAATTAGCATTCCCTGTTTCCCTTCAATTGTTATTATAAAATTTCAAACATATTAAGATTTTATGGAATTTTTCTCATGAAAGTATTAGTTTTTTTTTCTTTTTTTTTTTTTTGGGGGGGGGGGGGGGGGGGGGGGGGCGAAAAAAAAAATTTAAAAATTTTTTTAAAAAAAAAAAATTTTTTTTTTTAAAAACTTGATTCCAGAAAAAAAGTTTTTACAGCCAATTGAGTTTGGGAGAATTTGTGATAAATAATTTCAGTTCATAAAACGTGATAAAAGGATAGTAGAGTGCATCAAACAGATTTCTAAAACGATGTCGAATACCATAAATGCGATGCAAGATAAAGCAAATGAATATGGCAACATCCATTCGAGGCTTGGAACTGTGACAGTTGAGCTATAGGAGACAAAGCAAAGCCTTCGAAAGGCACGGGAAGAAAGCATGCAAATGGCAAGTTGCTTCTCTACTTCACAAGAACAACTCGAAAGGATTCAACAACCATGCAACACAAATCAGATAAATGCTTGCTCGATTTAGAGATTAAAGAGCTCAAATTTGTGGACGAGACTCAACAAGTTTACAAGTTAAGAAGGAAACGACCGATGAAAAAAAAATACGTGAGTTTTGCAAATCCTCCATTTCTGGCTCAAATTTTAGTACTAGAACCAAGTGATGATGCTGTGCTCCAAAGGCACTCATCTCTCAAGAAGAAGAAGAAGCAATTGATCCCACTTATTGGATTTCTGAAGTTGCATCACCATGAAAATATAAGCATAAGAACTCGTGGTTCAAATGATTAAAAAATTTCAATTTAATTCCTATGGTATATAGATAGATGTTAGTTTGATGCCCATTCTTCGAGTAATGTTCTGTAAAATCACATTATGAATTTACGTTAGTTTATTTGCAGGTTATAATTTGAAGTGATTGTCTAAGGTTCCATGATCATAGAGGATGTCACAAATTGTATACTCGATGGATCGGGTATAGTAAGACACAATTTGTGATGTGATCAAAAGTATGTCGTTCACAATCGGTTCATAAAGTTGGACGCTTTATGTTAATAAGATTGTATTGTTCTTATTAAGATTTGTCTAGATCTTGAAATAGGAACAATAATGTGCTTCGATGCACATTGAACGGGACCGCGTAGATGACTCATTTGCGACCGTTTGAAATGAGACTCTACTTGATTATCAAATAGGTCACTTAAATCTTGAGCCAGTAATGTACCTTTGATTGCTAGTTCAAGTTCTTTGAAGTATCAATGAGTGAAGTCTTAAATAGAAGATTGATCTCGGTGCTTTGGGAATCGAGCCGAAACAATTAGAGATCATATATTTACAATATTGGAATCCATTAATCATTGAGATGAGACGATTGTCACTCTAAGATATTTTCCTAGGCAAATTGAATATGAGTTCAGTAAGTCGACGATGAGATCGTTGGACTTTACATTGTGATTTGATCACAACGAATTTGCCGTATGAAAATGGGACTTAGAGGTAATGCATGTTGAAGGGCAAAACGGTCATTTTGCCAGTTTCAACATATTGACGGTCAAATGGGGGTTGACTTGTGGAACGATAATCAGAGGATATTGTTATTGGATCATAATTTGCTTCTATAACTATCATTCGACTCGAGAGTGCAATCTCGATTTTTTGGTAGAATAAGCCGAGATTAATAGATGTATCTCAATTGGTCAAGAGTTGACCCAATTGAAAACATCTATTGGAGCTTGGATCATATTAGTCCAATTAGGTCCCTCTCTTGGCTCCAATAAAAGGTGTGTGACTTAATTGGTCTACTACAATAAAGTCTAAGAAAATTTGTGCAATTTTCAAACCCTAATAGGTCATTATAAATATGCACATTATTGACATATTTTGGTGTGATTTTAGGGTCAGCCACTTTTCACATTCCCCAAAAAGGAATAACACGTAGTGCAGAACAAGGGAGAAGATCTAAGGGAGGAAGCAATTGGCTAGGCCATTAATAGCTCATTCAAAAAGGTTATCATCTTCCCTTTCTATATATGTGAGGATTTAATAATCCAATGATCGTAAGATCAATTAAATCCTTATTTACATGATTTTAATTTTCAAAGAAAAATTATTTCATATTGTGATGATTAAAATTCATTAACCAACAAAAAAAATTGAAGAATTAGGCCGAGATGTGGCCCAATGTAATTTTTTTATCCATGTTATAATTTAAATTCTTAAAATGGGCTATTAGTGATTATTATTCATTTAATTATCGCTTTTACCGCTTTATGGATGGATGAATGTTTAATTATTATCGCATGTCATGTAGATTAAATGAAACACCACCCGGTACACTAAAATCATATGCATTTACATTTAAATATTTTTTATCACTCTAAATTAATTAGAGATGGTTGAAAAATATTTTATAATTAGAGCCATTATAATTGTTTATATTTGGCGACCTAATTAAGTGAAATTCCAACGGGACAAAATAATAAGTGGGAGAGGGTTTATAGGCATGTATAAACCTACGGCCTCCTCCGTCATCCAATTTGTTATTAAAATACGTATGTTTAGTATTAAATTATATCGGTCTCTCTATAGGAAAACTACGTTATTTAAGATTAACTAAAATTGGATCTAGTAATAGAATTTCTTTAAAAATGAAATAATGGAATGATCATCCTATAGACAACATCTTATATATTTCGGATTTTTTAAAATTATTGAAGAAAGTTATTACACTTATATATAAATATTTTGGGGGACTTCCTATAGAAGATTTCAACAAAATTATTCATAGGCCAAATAATAATCAATTCGCATTTTCTTGTGGCATGAGATGCTTAGCTCAATAAAATAAGTGAGAGAGTCCCAACCTTGCCAACAACTACATTGACCTCCTATAGAGGGCGTGTTAAAAG